AAGCGGTTTGGATTGAATTCACAGATATTTGCGACCGTCAGATTTATTTGTTTTGTTCCAACATGAACACGGGTAAACCGTCAAGTTGCACGGACCACCTGCGGACTACGTTCAGTGCGTCATCTCGTTCAAACGGCCGCTTCATCATTCGAGCTGTCGTCTGCTCTCGCAAACGTTTCTGCTTGTCGTCTGATTTTTCAAACGACAGCGGCCCGTAGACCAAACGTTGACCCGGTAATTGCGATAAGAAGTGCAGACTTCAGAAGACGTTTAAGTTTGAAGATTGCTTCGGGTAAGTAGGCTCGGTGTAAGCAGTAGATATAAGGAGATGTTGATAATTGTTACAAGTGGCCATCACCGACTTGTTATGCCTGATTCACTCGGTCCGATTCTGCTTGCGATGTTCAGTATCGACGTCGACATTTCAGCTACGGTTCAGGCTTTTGCAGCCCGAGCGACGTCATGACTGAAAATACCGAGCAGAACCTCAACATGCAAATCAGGCTTTAGCGTCCATTTTGCGGCGTCCACGCGGAATGAATCGCGGCATGTTACATTATTCACGCCGAGTTTTGTGGTGTAACGAGCCTCGTTAATTTCGCCGAGGCGGCTCAAGTAGTCAGACATTGCCAGGAAGACGTAGATTCAACAATTCCAACGCAAAAAAGAGCGCGGGGACTCAAATCGACGCCGACAACGTCCCATTCCAATGGTTTGTTTATGGGCGCTGCGAGATTCTTGCCCACACCCCCATCGCGCATGCGCGGCGTCGGTGGCGTCCGCTAGAGGCCGCGCTCCGGTTTGTTTGTAAACATGAGTTGGTCAGAGGGACAAGCACGAGTATGTTCTCTCTCTGACGATGCTCTTACTGGACGAGCGTGTGTGCTAGCCCGCTCAAACTGCGTTCGCTCTCGTAGCGTCAATAGGGTCTCCTTCGCTCGCAGTTTTATTGAAACGAAAATGCCAGAAAATAAAACATTTGAGATCAACCCCACACTCGCGCCAGCAGCTTTGACAGCGCACACTTCCCGTTTAGGTCTTTGGCGGGCTAACCTAGGATCTGCAGTGCCGGGCGTTTGAGGTGACGTTACATGATGGGCTCTCGACCAAAAATTCGATCTCTTCAGTCTATTACAGGACCACTTCAGTATCGACCTATTCCAAACTCTAATTATGCAAAACAAAGGAGAGCAAAAATTGAGGAAAGATGCTCTCCCCAACATTTCTTTTTTGGTTACCTTAAACCAAGGGAGTAAACCACCACTGCAAGAGAACTGGAAATATAAATGGTATGTACAACATCTCAAAAACCATATATTTTTTGTTCAGTTGGACACGTCGCATCAGTTTTACAATACAAATTCGATGCTCAAACTGTTGATTTTGGATGCCTCATTTACAAAATGCAGTTCCATTTACTTGTTTTAGTTGGCTCCCTAAAGTCCCCAAGGCGTACCCAGCAAAACCTGAATAGTACACCACAAGGCAATGCCCACAGCACTCAAACATCCCCAAAACAGGCTGCTGCAGCAACTGAAGCTGCTCTTTAGTTTGGCATTCCGACACTGTTTGTGGTCGACCGAGGCACACCTACCACTAGTGCCATATCTCTGTCCATTTTAGGAGTGTATGTCCTCCCGAGGGCCCCCAGCAATGTCCGAGCGGAGCTTTTCCCTCGGGGCAATCTGCCGCAGTGACCGCAGCTGTTGATCAGTTTGGCAGTCCGATACTCTTTCCAGATCAACTGAGGCTCACCTACCACTAGTGCCGTCTTTGTCAATTCTAGGCGAGTTTGTCCTCCTGAGGCCCCCCAGCAAGTTCCAAGCGTGGATGTACAGAACCTAACTTTTCCAGCTTCCCCAGAGCAGCCTGGTACGGCAACCCCAGCTGCTGGTAAGTTCAGCACAATAGACGACTTCCATAAAGCCCTGCATGCAACACGGCGCGCGTTGCACTCTGGGAACTAGTTGGCCAGGGAGGAGGGTGGCATGGTTTCGGTTTCGATCGACACGTCGACAAGAGATCGTTTTCTGGTCCCGAGAGCGTCATTTGAGGTCTCTAAACTAACCTAAATTGCCAGACCTCGAAGCTTTAGTACAAGCCTGAGACGTATAGCTCGTCTTAACATATGTTTGTTGTATTTTTGTACGTGAGCCTTCCTGTTAGCGTTTCAATCGAGGTATGTGGACGAGCCAGTGCTGGGAATCTCGACGCTGCGAAGCTCGGGGATCTTGCTTGTGTACGAATCAACAAGCTGTAGCAACCAATTAGTACGCATACATCGAGCTCGCGCCTTTACATTAGTGTTGTTGATCAGGAAGTTTGTTTGTTTTGTGCGTCCATAGACGAAATATTACCTTTTGCAATTACTGTTTTTCTTAATATGCCTGAGTATGCGAGGTAAACCTCGGAGGCGCCATTGAAAAGCTCTTCTTATCTCTTATCTGTACTGACCCGCAGCACTGCACGAAGTGAACTCCCCACCCGCTTGCTTTCCACTAATATTCAACATCGCGTATGCGCACAGAGTTATCCTGCAATCATATAGGCACGTTCGCACATACAGACCGTTTTAAGAAAGCAAAAGTCGAGCACTTGTGTGAAGAATGTCGCACCGTTCGCCGCAAGTGCGCCGGACGGGCATGAACCCCTATGCGCACCGCATAGGGGTTCACGCCCGTCCGGCGCACGGTGCGACATTTTTCACACAAGTGCTCGAACGAATTCAAAGCGCATTTGACGGTTGCTAATGGCCATAATATTTGTTATGTGTTTGTTTTCTTCCTGCCTGAGTATGCCGAGATAATTTCAGACACACCGTTCAGGCACAGATCTTGGGCGTCAGTAAAAGCTCGTGCAAAAAGGCTTAGCGACGAGTAGGGGACGCTTTTAGGGCCTCCGTCGTAGCTAGCCGATCTCAGCGTTTGCGAAAAGTTAATCTTCTATCAGCATAAAATTCGAGTGGGAGATATATGATGACACGAGGAAGACATCATAGTAACTTTTGTGCAGTAGTGAGGTCGAATTTATTGCATTTCCCTAAAAGTTCATGCGTAAACGCTGGGCTTAACTTTGATACCCTGTGAGGATGCGGCTTGCTTTTCGCCCAATGAAGTAACAAGAAGCGGACGTTTGGCAAACGAAATACGTGTAAGGCTCCATATGAGCAAATTTCAGTTCTAGTTCACTGGTACGAGACGGGATTATTGAAATTGAGCTCAAACATGCACTCGAGGGGTGAGGTGACTAAGCCACGACTTACTACGTTCGCATACGCACGCACAATATCCGGTGTTTCGGGAACCAAGGAAAGTGCCCCGGTCTTCGTTTCGTATCGCTCGAGAATAAGTGTATTGTACGTTCGTGAAAAGTCAGATAACCGAAAACGCAAGCAGCGCGTTCGGTCGCGGCGTGATAGCATGAGATGAAGCTGCCCAGTCGAAACCGAAACTGAGTGGCCAACTAGTTCCCAGAGTGCATTGCGTGGTATTTCGCCGCGATGGGGCGCGTCGGTTTTGGAAGTAGTCCAAGGTCGACAAGGGCACGCCTACAACCACTGTTGTCGCTGTTCATTTATTCATTGTAGAAGTGTGTGTTGTCCCATGGCTGCCCGAGCAAGGTCTGAGCAGCGCCCTACTGGCCCTTGCTTCCCCAGCTTATCCTGGAGAGATTGCCGCAGCAACAGCTGATGAGTTTTCATTTTCGACTGCTGTTTATTTCCTGGCGGAGTGCAGTTGCACACTGTTACTGACATCCGATCTTATTGTCTCACTGTTAGCCACTTAACAAAACTAAATAATAATCTTTTTTTTTTCTTTTTTATGCACACTGTTTACACTTGGCATCAGGCAGTGTCATCAGAATGCCAGTCTTTCTGGTGTACTGATTAATAACAAAGAGCTACAAAAACAACTGTATTGAATGCAAAAAAAAAAAAAAAAAACTTAAATGGCGCAACGACAGGAGTATGAGTTGCAACGTGAAGAGAAAAATTTTAAATTTGTCTCTATTGTAGTAGGCTGGATAGCGGACCGCGGCCTCGGCCCGTTTAGCAGACGACAAGCTTGAAGTCTCTACCGCGGAATTCGCTCACTCCCAGAAAGCCGCTGTCGAGATGGAACTTTTTTGTCGTTCAACAACTTCTGGGCTTCCCCGAGAACGGTCTTATTGGCGACAAGTTCCTTTGTTTACTTCACTACGAGAGCAATCTTGCCAGCTCAGCCGTAGGTGCTCAGGTACTTTTGATTTTTTTTAATCGGCGACCGAACGTTTGGCAAATACCGATTCAATCTCCAAACAGCCGACATAAGGATCGCATAACACCATAAAATACTCCCCTCCGAGCACAGCGTACATGCTTCAATGTTCTTACTTTTGTGCGTTTCTGCCGGTGGCGACACCGACGGGCTCCCGATCCGCGATCCAGCCTACTACCGGGTGTCCCAAGTAACAGCCAGGCTCTTTAAATCGACCGCAAAATTCGGCTTTTAACCTATCGCGCTACGACTTTGCGCAGCGTTGCCCACATATGATGTTTTTTTTTTTGTTTTTTTTTTGGAAAATTTGCAAAGAGTGAACCTGACTGAGGAAAACGTAAAGAGAGAAAAAGGCTTAGCTCCTATGGAAACGGGAAACGACAAGAGATGACGCAAGCGGTCGCGACGCCAACTGTTGCCGATGCACTCGGCATCGGCGGAGATCAAGCTTTCGGCGATACGTAGTTTATTTTTCTGGCGAAACAAAACTGAGTAGATATGTTTCATGGACACGCTGTATATAATATCTATTAGCGTTTCAAAGTCTGAAAAATGATTTGTTTCTATGGAAAAATATGGAAAAAAATAATAATATATATTGCGAAGGATTTCCGACGCGAACGGGAGTAGCTGCTGCCAGCTGCAACAATCGCGACTTAGGAACAGAAAGCGAAACCACCCTATTTCGCTGGTTTTAGCTATGAACGATACATTGCTATACCACTCCAACTCGCGTCAGCCGGAGGATCCGGAGTGTCATCGGCATTTTAAAAATGGCAGAAACTTATACTGGTCGTATGCTTTTCGGGCTTGTACGACGTCGTATGGTGGTAAATTAGACGTGATAACAGAGCTAGCCAGTCGGAAAAAATGTCTACGAAAGGCAAGAGTTGGTCCACCGGCCCATACGAACGCAGTGATGTTTGCTTAACACGTTAGCGGAGCCCCATACGGTGTAATTTGTCTTCCACGCTTATCAGGTAAGAATCGCAACTGACTACGTTGTTTACTTTTGAAAGGTCCGTTCCTTTCGTGTCGTTACCAATTTTACCTAATTTCTACAGAAGACATTGAAGCATTTGTGTGGTAATGAGAACCTGGAAGTAGTGTTTCGTCTGTCCTCATTAAACTATAGCCGCCTCAAATATTATCAGCAAGATCGTGTTGCTTTATCGTAACTTCAGTCTGCACTTCAGAAATAAGGAAATTGAAGTTAGTGTAATTCTTGTGTAGAAAACAAAATAGATGCTGGTTTGGGCGTTTGCATTTCTCGCATTCGCAGCAATTGAAACGACAGTGATGACGCAATCACTGTGACAACAGTGATCGGTATCAGTGTTGCGGAATGGGCACCCCCATTCCATTCCAATTCCATTCCGGGGAATTAGAGCTTGCGATAATTCAATTCCTTTCAACTCCTAGGAATGGGGACACTGGGCCCATTCCCACTCCTGGAATGGCTGAATCGTTCCATTACATTCCTCTAATTCCTAAACGTAAAAATAGTTAGAGCTGACAATATCAAACGCATAAACAATTGCAACAAAATGCAAAATGCCTAAAAAAACACTGATTTTACTAAGTGGAGCACTGGTGGCACAAAGTGTTTGTTTAGATTGTACTGCAAACATCGAGAAAGCCTTTTGATATGTCGATGCTTGTTTAAAACATCAGTCTTTCGACCACGTACGGCTCGCAACAAACAGCAAAACGTAAATCCACTAATTTTTTTTTGGCAAACTTTTTTTGCATTTGTCTTTTAGGACATACGCGGCCAGCGTGTTTGTTTGATAAGACCATAAAAATATCCAGTTCATGCGTGGCGCAGAAATAAGCTATATTAAGTACTATATTCTTAAAATACCTGCACAGCAATACGGCTAGTACGCTGCTCGAAGCGACTCCATGCACAGTGGCAGGAACACATCCTCTGACAAAGTGCAACCTCTACGGCGCAGCACGAGAGGCCATGTCACGAAACAGTCTTTCTGCAGGTCTAGTCAGTTCGGTCACGCGAAAAGAGCGGTGACGACAATCTACTTCACCTTACGATGGACCGTAACAGACAGCACGAGAGCCATCGAAACCAATCCAGTGCCTTCTGAGTGTCGCGTGACCCTGGGGCGCAGCAACGCGCCGTGCGTGTTGTCCCCCTCACGGTGCTGGATTGCCTGGGGTGACTCGTAGCGTCCGCAGCGGTCCCTCACAAGGTGAAACAAAGTAGGCAGTGTCTAAATTCAAAGGAAATGAGCGGGAATCCGCTAGCTTGCCTGTAACCGTAATCCACTTGAATGTAAAACATATAACACAGAAAACAAGCATCGGAACAAAGACCAAGTAAAAGGCGGACTTACACGTAAAAATGCAGAATAAAAAAAAAAAAAAACAAGTGTCGGAGCAAAGCGCAAGAGGAAAAGAGAAAAGTGAATCTTGCTTTGTTTTATTGCCGAAGCGAACCCACAGTTCGCACTTCAAAGGAGTGCGCGCGATTGAACATGGAAGGCAGCAGGTTTGGCCGCCTGCTAAACAACGCTCCTCGAACTATAAGAAAACAACAACTGATCATCTTTCGGCGGCGCGCGAGTCAACGAGTTATCAGAGCTCTGCGGGTTATGAGTCGTCCCCCGCTCTCAGATCTGTCTGTGCGTGCGTGTATTCTCCATGCCTTCGTTTCTTTTGCTTGGTGCTTGGTTTCTTGTTTCGCTCGCTCTCGTGTAACGCCAGTAAAGCCCGTCGCCTGCGCGAAAGGCGCCACCGCCACCCCCCCACCCCCCCTTCCCTCCCCCCTCTGCTCTTTGCTTTGAAGCTTCTTTTTTTTATTGCATTTTTTGCGTATAAGTCTGTTAGAGCTCCACGTGGGTTAGCTGTTTCCCGCCCGCTCATTTTATTTCTGAGCAACTGGCTCGCTGACTGGCTCAAATTCGCTAACCGTAAACACCAAAAAAAAAAAAAAAAAGGAAGAACGGGCCCATTCCATTCCCATTCCATTCCAAAAAAAGGCATCTAATTCCATTCCCATTCCATTCCCCTCAACGCTGCCGCCATTCCATTCCCATTCCATTCCGGGGTCGCAAAAAATTGGAATGATTCCGGAATCATTCCAACTCCGGAGTGGCAACTATGCAACACTGATCGGTATTCCGCGTGGCAATCAACTCAACAACTACAATCGGTTGGCAACGTCGCTTGCGATAGACCAATCACGGATCGAAATGAATATTTCGGCATACGTCTTTGCGGATCGTAATTACAGCTATATTTACCTACTCCTTAGGCCCGCTTCAGACGGGGCCATTTCGAACAGCAACTTGACGTGGCAACACCAGCAACACGAGCCGCCCGCGTTCACAGGCAGCAACCGAATTGCTACGACTTGCCGTCGACATCATGAAATTTTATTTTTCTTGCACTATTCGACCCGCAGTTACATGTTAAAACATGTTTTTATATCTTTAAATTGCATTGAGAATACTAACTCATCTTTCTGAAACAGTTTATTTCCAAAAACGATCCATTTCAAACCGGAACCAAGTCTTTGGTTGTCATTTTGGTGTTGCGCTAGTGACCTGTACTAACATACTCACCTAGATGGCGCCACGTGTTGTTAAGTTTGATGTGTAAATAAAGGAATCAAGCAAGTCGCTTCAGTTCCCTACCGGCTGCCTGCCTTGGAGCATGTTTCCTCTACATGGTGTCAGAAGTGGCGGCAGCCCGCAGAACCACTCGTCTACGCTGATTCGCCGAGGCGGTCTCGACAGCGGCAGCTCGTGAGTTTGCGCTACGCAATGACCAGCAGCAGCGAGTCGGGAAACCGATGGCGGCCGCACCCCCCAGCTTCGTTGTGCAGCCACCTCAGCAGTTCAACTTCAAGAATGCAGGTCAGTGGCCGCAATGGGTAGAACGCTTCGAGGACTATTGGTTCGCATCGGGTCTCTACGTGGCAAAAAACGAAGTGCGCACAGAAACTTTGCTCTACTGCATGGGACCTCAAGCACGAACCATCTTGACTTCACTCGCACTCGAAGAGGACGAGCTCGGCGACTACGCCAAGGTCAAGGAAAAGTTTGACAGCTACTTTGTGCATCCCGTGAACGAGCTGTACGAAAGTGCACGGTTCCTCAGACGCACTCAGCAGCCCGGTGAGTCAGCGGACGCATTTTACATGCCTCTTTGTAACTTGGCGAAGCGGTGCAACTACCGCCCACCCGAAGTTGAGGACTGTCTGATAAGGGATCGCTTCATCATTGGTTTGCTTGATACTAAGTTATCGCACCGACTCTGCCGAAACACAAAATCGACGCTAGAAGGAGCTTTTGTTCAGGTGCGTCAGCATGAAGATTCCGAAGCGGAACGAAAACTTCGTGACTCAGCCGCATTGAGGACCACTGCGTTAAACATAGATGCGGCTAAGGTGAAAAAGCACCGCCCACCGAGACAAGCGCAAGCACAAGCGACGGGCGGGTCGGTAACCTCCTTATGCATCTACTGTGGACAGTCTTCCCATTCACGTTCAGAGTGTCCCGCCAACAGAGCAGCTTGCAAACTGTGTCACAAGAAAGGGCACTTTGCTGCAGTCTGCCGGGCAAGGAAAGGGAAGTTGTCGTCGGTAGAACTCGCGACTGTCAGCGCAACGGACGGTACCAGAAGCAAGTTCGTCGTGGTCAAGGTCAACGGACTGGCCCTGAACTTTAAAGTGGACAGCAATGCCGAGGTGTCCGTCGTACCAAGCACGTTCTCGGGGATCCCAGCGCATCTTCAGCAACCGGGCGGAGAGCTGACTGGACCGGGCGGGCATCCACTGGAGGTTTTGGGGACTTTCACGGCCAGTTTGTTGTGGAAGGTCAAGTGTGTGACGCAGGAGTTTTACGTCGTCCGTTCCCAGACTGTGCCTCTTTTGGGTTTCCCTGCAATTCAAGCCCTGGGAATCGTGAAGTTCGTGGACCACATCCCAGAAGTTCCTCTGCAACGAGCCGGGGTGGTCGTTCTATCTGAGCTGTTTCAAGGCCTCGGTGAGCTTCCTGGCAAATACACAATTCGTCTAGCTGTTTCATTTTCGTTGCCTGTCGCAAGGCGGATCCCAATTCCACTGCGAGATGTGGTCAAGTCTGAGTTGGACAAGATGGAAAGCAAGGACGTCATTCGTCAGGTTGTCATTTGACGCCATGGTGTGCAGGACTTGTGGTGGTTCTGAAATCAGCTAAAGGGTATCAACTGTGTGTTGACCTTACAAAGTTGAACAAGGTCGTCCTCCGGGAACGCCACATCCTGCCCACGGTTGACCAAGTTTTGGGTCTTCTCAGGGACGCACGGGTGTTCTCGAAGCTCGACGCGATGTCAAGCTTTCACCAAGTCAAGTTGACGGAGGGTTGTCAAGAGATGAAGACCTTCATAACTCCTTTCGGGCGTTACTGCTTTCACCGTCTGCCTTTTGGCATCACCTCAGCGCCCGAGTATTTCCAGCATGTGATGGCCAACATTTTAGAAGGGCAGACTGGCGCCGTCAACATGATTGACGATATCCTTGTGCTCGGTCAAGACCGTGTGGAGCATGACCAGTGCCTGACAAAGGTGTTGCAGCGCTTGAGCAAGGCAGGCCTGACGCTCAACAGGGAAAGTGCAAATTTGGCGTGACAACTGTCGACTTTTTGGGGGTTGTCGTCAACAAGCATGGCATCTCGCAAGACTTTAAAGGGCAACTCCGGCCAACACTCAAAATGAAATAAATTACTGGTAGCGCTGTAGTGACACAAAATATGACCCCAGCCGAAATATTACGTCCGGGGAACGCCGCATTCTCAAGTAATGCCGATAATAAAAATGCGACCCACCGTGAGCAGCTGCTTCTTAGCGGGCGGCCAGCGGGTTGCCGATTGCTAAAGCAACATTGGGCCGTGACGTCAATATCATTCTCTTTTTTTCCTCCGGTTCGGGCGTTGAGCGGAGTGCGCTTCTTTGAGCCACTACCACCGCTACTTCGGCT